TGTGAATAAGTCTATTTTGAAATGTATAAAATTTTTATATGTGACAAGTTAATTATCTGTTGAGTAGGAAACTGAGATCTGATTCAAAAACTCTTTTATTATTACAAGTCCAAATATTATTAGATTAGAAAAAGATGAATTTGACTGATTGTTGAAGAAGTTTTATTTCTGTAATTATGAAAAAGTCTATATTGAAAAGATTGAAAAGAGTTAAAATGTCATCTTATTTGTTATTTTGTCTGAGATCTTATATATTAATAGTAATAAATCTCCAGAAAAATGATAATTTGTGTTCAATAGACATATCTAAAATAGTATATTTTATTATAATAGAAGTTATTTATTATATTTAGTTATTCATTTATATTAGATATTATATGATTATTATGATATATTTATATTGTTGATAATGTAAAGATTCCTGTTTGAATATTATGGAAAAGTGATAAAGATATTATATAATCAATATTTATATTTTGCAAATGATTATTATTAGAAATAGTGATTTTTTTGCTATTTGTCAGATTAAAATATGAATTATTATATAAAAAAGATGATATTGTGATATTTAATGAATGATCTTGGAATAAAATAGGATTTGGCTTTTATTAAAAATAGGAATTCATTTAATTTATATATGATACATTCATTTAATAGATTTGTGAGTTTGAATTTGTATTTTTTATAGATTATTATAATTTGATTTTGATCAATAAAAGGAAAAATTCTGACTCTATTATTGTTCATGAAAATAATATAAAATATATTATATAATTATTTATTGATATGAGTATAATATAAAAGTTCAATATTTATCTATAATAATGATATTTCTTTTATATAATGATAATATTTAACAAAGAATAATGATTATTATGAATTTAATTAATTTTTTAAAAGTATATTTTCATTGAATAATTAGTTAATATATGATTTACAAATTATAATCTTTTTTAGTTCATATTTTATTTTATTTTATTTTATTTTAATTTATATTATTATTTATTATATTATTATTATTAGTCTGAAAAATATATGTTAATTAATCTTCAAAGACTAAATTAGCTTAATAGTAATTTATAATAAATAACTACATTAAAGTGAAAAATATAAAACATAAAGATAAATAATTTATAAAATGAATTATATTTTATTCTAAATAGAATAAATTAGTTTTAGTTAAAAAGATTAAATTATTATAAATACAATATGTATCTTAGCTTAGAATTATCATAAAATTAAATTAGATTATAAAATTAAATATTTTTTAATAATATCAAACAAAATTTAGTTGTAACTTATATTATATTGATCTTTTAATTATGTTATTTTAACAAGAAATCATTATTTATATTTATTATTTATTATTTGCATTATCATTATATAATGATATTTAAAAATATCAGAAAAATATTATATTAAATTAATCTTTGTATTACTGATTTAAGAGAGATAACATTTATAATTATTTTCATATTATTTATTTTAAAATTTGTTGATTTTTTGTTAAATTTATATCTAACTTCATTATTTTATTATTTGATATTTAAATTATAAGTTTTGATAGTTTAGTAATTCAAGTTTTACATAATATAATCACTACTTTTTATATAATAAAGATCTTTATTTGTAAAGACTACTAATAGTAACAATATTATTTATATATTGATCTTGTTACTTGATTTTAAAACTTATATTTCAAAAAATATATACTTTAAATTTTTGTATGAACATAATTATTATTCATCTTGTAAATATTTTCATTCATAAAAATCACAAACCGATAATATTACTTTTGTTATTGTAAGTGATAATAATTTTCAGTATTGGTATTATTATTTTAGTTTTTGTTAATTTTTATTAAAAGTAAATAATAATATTTTATTTTTGTAATTGTGAAAAGTGTTTTTTCTAATTAAATAAATAAATTCTTTGTTTTTCTTTTTCTTTGCTATTATTAGTGTTTTTGTTTTGTTGTAAAAGAGTTTAATATTTGTTTTTTACAATTTTATCTTTCTTTTCTTTTTAACAATTTGTCCTCAAATTCTAAATTTCTTTGTTTATTAAATATAGTTTTCCTTTTTAACCTTAATTAGGTGAGTTTCTTTATCAATTGTTTGATGACTTGTGAGAATCTATTTATAATAGGGTTGTTCTTGTATTGAAAAAGTGTTGTATGGTTGAAATAGTGAACATTTGTTTGTTTTTATTATTTTTTAATCAAAATTTTCATTAATAACTTTGAGCTGTAATAACTCAATCAGTTTATGTTCAATTATGGGGAAAAATATATCATTAGATTCCTCAGGTCAAGAAAAATCCAATGGTGTAAATTTTATCAATTTCAATCATTGGGTGGGAAGATATCGTTGTTCAAAGATGGTCATAAAATTTTTTGAGCTTGAATATCTCTGAGTTTTGATCACGTCACATATTTTGCGTAAGTTAAAGAGATACCATAGAACAGTATTGTACATTTTTTATGCTCCAAGCATCTTTGAAATTGCCCCTCCCCATCTCTACTACGTCCCTACTAAGTTCTGTTCCGTCCTACTAAGTCCCAACTGTCCAAAATGTCACGGCTATGTTCAGACTATGTATGTCCCGTGACAATACTGCCGTAGAACATACTTAATTTTGACATTGATAGTACTGATACTATTCAGTTTCAGCGATTTCATTGGGGGTACTTTACTCGGGCAGGTATTATAGGAAGGTTTAAAAATTTTATTAGATAAGGTGCTAGCTTTCAAAAGAGTAAAATTCTAAGTGTTTATCCAATAAAACTAATCTATGTCATACAGTCATCGGCGAAAGTAATCGCGGTGAGATTGTAATATAAATTTTATTATAATACTATGGTGCATAACAACTAAAGTCATCGAACGTTTGTATTTTATAAAATGGATAAACTTCTTTACTAAGAAATAAATACAAAATTTAATCCGTAAATGTGCTCAGAAATGGTCTATTCTATCATATTCACGGATTAAATTTTGTATTTACTTCTTAGTAAAGTTTATCCATTTTATAAAATACAAACGTTTGATGACTTTAGTTGTTATGCACCATAACATTTTTTTATAGTGCGAAAATCTTATAGGAGCACGGGAAGTCATTTTCCCGATTGCAGGTTTTTAAAATTTCAAAACTTATTTTCTCGATAATCAGTGATCAGATTTTTATAGTTTTTGTCTTATTATATTCGCCTCGATAAAGCGAACATTTTGGTAGTAATTTCATTTTAGTCAGAATAATATTTATCGAATTATTGCGAATTTTAGTTTTTTAGTTAAAAACGTTCAAGTTACAAATGTTTAAAACATTTAATTGGAAAGAGAACACACCAAATACCAATATTTTAGGTCATAATGCCTTACTCGGAGGCGCTTTAAAAATAAATTTTTGTCAAACTATAATAAAAAGATGTATTTCTTATAAAAATTTTGGTTCATAAGTGTCATCGCGAGGCTTTCTCGTCCTGCATCATATACTCTCCAATCAGCAGTTTTCAGAAAACTAAGCACAGTTTTAAGATCCTTCTTCGACATCTACGTTCCAAGTGCACTGAGAACGAGTTTTCACCCAGCTCTGCTGTTAAAGGTACGGACTAATGTTGTGTCAACGACTCTACTTATAACTTAAATATTTAGCCACAAAATTTCCGAAAAAATATATTATCTTCAAACTCGATCGCAAGATACTCGCCAATCCAGATTTCAATGTTAAAAAACTTAATAGAATCTCGAATAGTGGCGTCAAAATATTCATCAAAGGACTGCGTGCTGTTGTTATGAACGAAAGTGCCGATAAAGGTACGACTGACGTGAAGACTGACACGCTGTTAGTTCGCATTGTTAGCTTAAGTGAATTTCCCATGATAATCAAGTGAGTAGCTATCGCTATGGGTAAACCCTTTTATTTGTGATACGTTCCGATGGTTTCTGTTTTTAAAGCTTATATTTTGTCAAAACCCGACTTCACACGGAATGCAAACTATTAATTGGTAACAAGCTTGACTTAATAGACGAAATTAAATGAAATACGAAACTCTTAACGAAATTGTTTTGGCCTATAATAATTAAATATGTCCTTTAAGATTATTATAAAAAATATTTTAAGTTATTATAAAATTTTTGGCAAATTGCAAGATAACGAAACCATTAGCCAATTCAAAAACAGTATCTTTAATGTGAGAGCAATTCCTGAATTTGTAATTGATAAGTCCATCTTTTCATTGATTCAAATAACTTTTTTAAGCGGGATAAACACCTGCAAAATGCTTATACATAGAGAATCACAAATCGTTGCCAAAATACTCGCCCGTTTCTTCATATGTGACATTTACAAAGCTGTGATACCTGCAAAAGATTGGAAGGAGCTTCGGATTGGCTTACCGCGAAAGCAGTTGGTCGTTATTAAAAGATGGCCAGGAGGGAATGGTTTGACGACTGGCAAGTCCAGATGGAAGACGAGCAGTACTGATAGCATTGATCAAATTCGTCAATTCCTTTTGCATTTGAAAAAAACATGATAGGAATAGTTTAATTACGCTTTGTAATTTATTTTAGTATGATTCAATTTAATAAAACATTATTGTTGTCATTTGCGCTAAAATAAGAATTGTTATGTGAAATATGGGACTGGGGGATTGATGTGTACTAATCTTGCCTTTCAGCTGAAGGGCCAGCGAAAATCTGCTTGGCAGGTGGTGATCGAATAAACGCGGTGTAGTCGCATTAAAATCATTGATTGGTGTTCCGAATTTATCTCTTAAACTATCTCTCATTTACTTTCTGATAAAAAATGTGGACCGACGAGCAATTGTTTTTGATCGATAAGCGCAAAAATAGAAATACGGAATATTAAGATATTGCCGGAAGTAGCAGAGTCAATTTTTGTGATAGTATGGCGAGAAAATAAACCGCCATTTCGGTACCATTTTTTGTGAGTAAACTTGCATTATGTGGCGTTGCAACTAGTTAATATACCAATTTATAATGGAGAAAGGAGAAGCAGGAATGAATTCCATTCGCATTTTGGAAAGGCCAAGTAAGTACCCTTCATAAATAAATAATTGTAAATCTGTTCGCTCAATTTCTGAATTTGCGCATAGTAGTCTCTCAGTACATATCCTCCTAAAGGTGCTAAGAAAGTCGCCGAACCATACCCTCCACCATTCACATCCATGCTAAGTCACCAATCATGCTCCGCACCTATTATCCATACATGAGGCTAGAGTCCTTACATAGTAAAAAACAATATATATTTTTTACTCTTCTGGCACACAAGGGCGCTAATTTAACCATTATTTATTGTATTGGTGGGGTTGGACACAAAGTGCCGTTGCTCTATGACTAATTCCATATTCCATATGTTGTGGAAACGGGTTATGGGATTGGCCCAAATTAGGATAGGGATAGAATTAGAATTAGAATTAGAATTAGAGTAAGGGTAAAGGTGTTGGTCGAAAGATTCTAAATTCACACTGAGTGGATTTGGAATCTACTTACACTTTATATTCGAAACTTGTATTTTGCTAAACTCCATTCAAATACGGATAATTCGAGTTATCATACACTCTATCTTCGTTATAACGTAGTGGTTGGGATAGTGTTGCCTGACGAAATTGATTTAATTAGTAGACGAAATTAAGTTTGACGAAAAAGACGAAACTCTTGACAAAATTGTTTTGGCCTAGAATAATTAGCGGCGAAATTAATTTTTTATATGATTATAAAGAAAATTTTTGGCAAAATTGCAAAACGACGAAACCATCAGCCAATTTAAAATAGTTTAGTCAGGTATCTTTAGGTTGGGACTTGTAGGAAAATTAGATTTAAAAATCCGTTATAACAAATTTACTAATTATGCCATAACGGGATTTTTATATAGTAATATGTTATAACAGGATCCGTTATAACAAGGGTAGAGTGTATCGGTTAATACGAAAGGAATTAGCAAAAGTGAATTTTTTGGGATAACGACATGATAAACAAAATGAAAATATAAATTGTTCACTTTAAATTAGTAAAATTTTTTACAAGTATCAAGTAATTCACAAACTTGGAAAACCAGTCAAACGAAATTTGATTTAACGAAAATTTACATAATCAACTCATTTTATATTCTACATATATAGAGGGCGGTCAAAATTATGCGGACACTTTATATAAAGTAAATAACACAAAAACTAATGAAAAAATCTTATTCCATGACCATTTTTGTTTTACATAATCTATTAACAGATTAGTCACTTTTGGACGCGATCTCTTCCAGGGATCAAATTCAAATGAAATACCACCATTCGATCCGTCTGGATAAGACGAATCAAATGGTGGTATTTACGTTCAAAAAGTTCATTGAATACTAAGATACTGCGACCCAAAAAAAAGATAGTGAAAAAAAAACTGAAAAAATTATCTTTGAAAAATGATACAGTCACTTTGGGTCACAGTATCTTAGCATCCAGTGAACTGTTTTGAACGTAAATAGCATCATCTATTTCTCCCTAATGAGGCACCTGAACTTCTGTAATTGAAATTTTTTGTTTACCATGACATTAATTCGCTTCGCCCAGGCGGATTGAATGGTTGTATTTTGTTTGAAACGGATCACAGAACATTGAGATAATGTATCCAAAACAACCGAATCATTTTTTTCAAATCGTCTTTTTAGGTCACAGTATCTTGTCATTAAGTTAACCATTCTGAACATTCGATTCGCCTCGTCTATTGGTGTTATTTATGTTTGAATTCGATCACTGGATGTCAAGATATCGCGTCTAAAATTGACCGTTTTATAAAAAATTAAATTAAAATATACCTAATTGAATTCATGCTATTCTTGCTAATGGTAACTGAACAAAGTATTATTATATTAATATATTATGTAACAAATTGTCAATAAAAATAAAATTCTAATTCATGAAATAAGATTTTTTATTAGATTTTGTGTTATTTTACTTTATTTTATAATGAACATGGGGTCGAGATTTGCTTGTAGTTTACACAATGGCAAATCATTGTAAGAATGCCCGCTAGTCGAGTGATTTCGAACTAAAAGATAGTGATTGAACACAAAATTTCTTCCAATAGCAAATTCCCGCGCTTGTTTCTTTCTTTTTCTGCTGTCACCGTATAAAATGACGCTAACCCACATAAAGATCGACAACGACCAAAAAAGGACGAAGCAATTGAATGATATGACGTTGCATCAATTACATACATGTACGCACCATTATTATAATTTGATAATGTGGGGGTGGATGCGGTAGTTAGCAGTGTTGGATTAGTGTTTTATCCTCTTTCTGGGGAACAATCCCATTTCAATGAAGTAATCAATCGATATGTATGCAATCATCTCGCGCTTTTGTCGTTTCTTGTTTTTCTTAATTGGATATTTGTTGGTTTATTGCCAAAGATGAAAATGATATCAAATTCTAGTCATCAAATTTTTTTCGTTTCACTTTGTTTAGGGCATGAAAGGGAGACATGATTATCGTTGCATAAACGAATTGACTTTCGAACAGAAAAACCAAAAAAATCTCCAGATCAAATTTAATTCACACCCAATAAAAAATTAAGAGATATTTCATTTGCTTTTTCGAGAACCGTCATGCTAGAAATCAGTTGGTTAATTATTTTTTGTTAAGAAATTGAAAAATGATCGTTAACGTACGTTACGCTGCATGCGTCCAACGAATGTTATGCAAATGTACACGTATAAAAAATCAAATCATACTGGAAAATTCTCGCAAAACCAAAATCATAGTTTTCTATAGCATTTTATTGATTTAGCCATCAGAAATCTCCATCTAATAAATGTTGCTGCTCGATCCATCTAGTTATGTCGTATTTCATTCGTCATTTACCTTCGCGTAAATGATAAAAATAGTGTTCATAGAAGTAGTATGACATGTTAATCCGTGATTCGACGAAATTACCTTTGTTTATAAATAATCGACAATCAAATCAGCAGATCTTATTGCATGGTCGCATAAACTACGTGTATCATGTTACGCGAAACTTTTAATTAAAAACACTAATTAAATGGGGTCATGTGGTCATAAACGTTACTAAAGGGGTCTTTTATCTGTTTGTCATGTCTCTTGATTTCATTTATATTCCCAATCTCGCGTTCATCTAATCATAAACATGTCATTAAAAATCATCAGGTCACGTTAGTGCTTCTAGTCACGTTTCTTGAAAATATTCCACGACGATATTCGGTTCTATGCACATTTCGTAATTTATGATTTCGTGCGCTATAAACATGTAACCAGGGTAATGACTCTAATATTCAATCATCAGTTATGTTGTGTTATGATGTTGAGTAATCTCTTTCTGAGGATACCAATACCATTTTTTTCGCATCCCGATCAAAAAAAAAAGATATTGTTTGGAATGGCAACAAGATGTGAGTAGACGGTATTGGCGTATGGCAACACAAACACAAAGATCAAAAGAAGAAATAAAGACTTGATAATTACAGCCACCAAACTATTTGATCGATATATTGGGGTGGAGTCAGTAAAAAAAGGACAAATCTATTAGAGTAATTTGTCCCTTTTCTACTGACTCCCCCCCCCCCCATACATCGATATTTACTACTAACTGGATGATTCAGGATTAACTGGATGATGATTCAGGATTAACTGGATGATGATTCAGGATTAACTGGATGCTGATTCAGGATTAACTGGATGAAGATTCAGGATTAAACGGTATGATTCAGGATTTATGTGTTTTTTTCTTGAATAAATGTATCACACCAATAACTTAAGATAACATTAGAGATGCAAATAAATCTACCGAAACACAAAATACACTCGTATGACTTGATATAATCATCAATAATTGACACGACAGACACTCACCGCCTGTCTAACGTGCAAGGAGACACCGAAAACCAAAACACCAAAATGGGTAAAAAATATCATATGAGGAGTTTTTTTTCTCGTATTTCTAAAGACAGTATAAGCTCTAGCTGATCTTTATTTATTGATTGATTTTTGGTGTAAAAGTATTATGTACCACCTTCATTTTTTTATACATCAAAACAAATATTGGGTTAAATAAGGGATTTAAAATTTGATCCCGATCAATCATTCATTGTAACTAACCAAATAGGATTTCATTCTAGAAGATGGAACCATCTCTAACTATTTTTAAATGACAAATGCAATGCGCCCCTATTAAAGAAAAACCGCCTCCCACCCCAATTACGAATTAATTAAAGCAAAACGACCAATCTTTTTATAAATTGATGTATGAGCCAGAAAGGAAGACAGATGTATAAAGGATGAATACAGTCCCCGTAACACGTAGTTAAGATAAGAAAGAATACAGGTCATCCATCAGGTTTTTTCCGGATTCGCTCTTTTGATGCAAGGGACTTTGTACTACTATTTTTACTGGCGATTATTTATTCAATTATGTTTTATTGCACGTCAAATTATTATTATTCTATAATATATATTTTGAAGCGAGAGAATCCCTTCGTTACGAATGGAACAATAGGATTCCTACGTGAAATAAAAGATCACTTGCACGCCATTGTTCTCTTGTCAAATTGATATTAAAAACGGGATAGTTATTTAATAACAAACGACGTTGGTGAGCCGATGACGTCTGTCTACGAGTTCCATTCATTCAAGGGGCATAAAAATTTTGCTCGATTCAAATAATTAATTAACACAGTGCATGTAATTAATTAGTATAATTCTTTCTTTCTCCTCTAATAATTAAGATGCTGATGTCGCAAACAGTAATGACGGACTGTTCTCCGAATTATAGGAGAAGGTCCAAGTCTAGATCAGAGGAAATAATATATATATTTTTTAGTTGTATTATTCCAAGAGAAAATTTCTCATTCATTCTCCACTCCCACACAGATGCAATCAATTACAGAAAACATGTCTACGATTAATAAGTCGTCGCCATCATCATTTCGAGTGAATAAGTGGACAGGTGCATTTGTTGTAGTAAATTATAGTAATGGCAACGAGCAATGGCAAAAATAATGCATGACTATCAAATAAAAAGGGTCAGGCGTCCATGATTGAATAGTGCGTTTGCATAAGACCAATTTTTTTTGATTGATTATTCCGAAAATAATGGTTCATTCTTTTTTGTTTATTGGTATATAAATCATGGTTTTTTTATGTAATTGCATACTCCAAGAAAAAAACGAAAATATTCCCATGAAATACATTGCATAAAAATCAATATTGCAAATATAATGCTAAATCCAATCGATGTATAGACTCGACATTAATTAATTAATTAATAATCGAAACTAGATGTGTACGGTCAAACCCCTTTATTATATTCACCTCCCCTAGGGAAAGTCAAACTGGGTGACATCTGTGCTCTTTTTAGGTAGCCTGTACCTTAATTTTAATTGACCGATTTCAGTTTTCAGAAACACACACCTAAAATCTTTTTGTATGCATGCAAATGCTATAGAATACTGTATTTAAATGAACATCGTTTCCGAAAAGATAAGTATCCCACGCACAAACGCACGATTATTGTTCATGGCAACACAGCACAGAACACGATGGACACGCTTTAACCCGGATTAACTAAACTATTTATTTATATTTATACAATACTAGGCTTAGATTTTAACTACGGTAACAATAATTGATGTGTACCCAAGCTACCACATAATCATAATGACAACAACGGGGATACAAAATCAACCAACGAAATAATTACCACAAATTACACAAAAACAGACGTTTCCAAATTTGGATTTTTCCTTTCGAAAAAGGTCATCTGCCATAACTTATGTGCATGTAATTAACGTTTGATGACTGTTTGTAGGTCGTTTGGTTCAGAGTATGGATACATAGTGAAGGGATAAAATGACAGAGACAAATCAGGAAACAGAGGGAGAATTAAAATAAATTAATAATGATCAATTAATTAATTAATTGGAAAGAAAAAAAAAAGAGATTTGCCAGAATCTCGATTCCGATTCCAAAACAGTACAGTATGCAGAGGAAAGAGTAAATAAAATAAAAATAAAATACAATACAATACATACATTGTTGTGATAAATGATTAATAATATAAATAATAAGAATAACAATAAATCAATTCAACAATCTTTATTTTGTGTGTGTTATACGGTACGGTGCAAGATAATATTTTGCGTGACCGTCTGTCAATTTCGTCTGTCTGTTTGTCTTACATACGGATACCGATACCGAATGAGTTTTTGTGTGCTAGTGTATTCTGATCGAACACAACACAATCAATTTGTCTGCAGTTAATCTTAATCCTAGCACTGTAGTATCACCTTAAGAATTTAGGGTGATTTTTTTTTATCGTTCCCCAAAATCTTATGACTCATTCGTATCCACCCGATTCAAGACGCGACGATATTAAAGAAAAAAAAAGCAAAAAAGGGGATCAAACGACCAAATAACTTGTATCTATGAATTGAATGGATGGAAGAACGACAATACAATACACATCAGCTTTCTATCCCTCTTAATTCACATTTACAAAATTCATTCATAGTAGTGCTCTTCTATTATTATTCTCGATAGGAACACGTACATATATATTTTCAATTAAATGTCTGTAATATATTGATATATTATTCTGAATGGAATGAAAATAGATGGAACAAAAGAATTTCGAGAGGCGGCGTATTTGTGTTTTGCACATTTTTTCTCAGAGAAAAGTAAAAGTTAGTCAAGTAGTCAATTGTGTCAACATAGAAGGCACGCATGTACACGTAAACAACATTCAGATGAGCTGTATTTTTTTTTCTCGTTGCTTTTTCCCACTATACTTGTTTACGTGTTTATTTATTTTTCTACCATTGCGCTAGTACTTACTGGTACTTTTCTTTGTCCTGAAAAAATTTTGATTTCCTCGTTCGCAAGTTACAGAACAGAATACCCAGCCATTTATTTCTTCAAGTAAACAAGCAAACTAACCGACAGACAGGGTGGTCAAAGGAAACAACCTCAACAAAACAACGTAAAAAAAGTCAACGTTATACAATAAAATCATAATAACAACAATGTCAATATAGACGCGCGCGAAAGATACAAATTTTTTCTCTTCAATGGCACAAGTCCGCATTAAACAAGCCGATAGGTAATAAGCAAACAATACAAATATATCTCATATATCGATATCTATTTATTCGTGGCAAATTCCTCGATTCCTGATTAATTCCTGAATTGCGTAAGCTTCCAATCTCCTTCCCTCCCTCGATCTCGATCTTTTTCTCTTGTCGTCATTCGGGTCATGAAAATTTTGATAATAGCCCTAGCTGAATAATATAGGACACGACTCAAATAAATATAAATAAATTAATCTCTTTGCCAATACCGCGTGTTCAACACAAATACAACAAATACAAAAACAAAAAGCAACCATTACCGCATCTTAATTAACTAATACACACGCCCCTATAATATATCGATATTATTTACTACAACAGTTACCATGTTTATTTATTTGTTATTATTTACATCTTTAAAGAGATAACTTTATTGAGATTCGAATTGAATCGATTCGAGTCTTTATTCTTTGTTTCAATAATTAAATCTACGGACTATACTATATATACTACACATACTCTTAATGAAAAAAAAATAAACAATTATTATTTTATTGCGTATTTTAAATTTTATATTATATTATATTTTATTTTATTTTATTTATATTTGTTTATATTGCATTATATTATTTGCATTATATTAGTAGTTATATTACCTACCATATATATTTATTACCTGTTATAATATAATAATATACAATCTAAAAACACTGACAGCCAATAAAAATATCTTTCAATAAATATATATACACCTCTTTACGTTGTGAATATCTAATCAAAAGAAATAATCGACAAAACGTCTTTTTTTTCATTATCATTTTGTATATATTAAAAAATACTTTCACCGTTTTCACACAAAATATATTCAATATTATTGTACATTATTGTTAGCTGCCAACTTGTTATATATCTCCTAGTAAATACTCATTCACTGCAACGCGACCGCGTACTCAAAAAAGTAATTTTTATTTACCATTCATTCCATCATTTTTTTCTTCCGAGTATAAAACTAACACACCGCTTTTTATTTTTTACTTTCCTAACTATCTCAACTATATTTGATATATACACATAACAATGTATATATAATATAGAAACAGATATCAAACAGCAACAAAAAAACTTCTTCAAGAATCTTTTATTAAACGAAACGTAAAAAACGCTTTCGCAAAAAACAAACTACAACACTTCTTTTCAACTACACGAAAGATAAAATGGAAACACCAACTATCTCTGTTATCACTGCTGCACATACCGTCGACTATCTCGGTCACAATCATACCTGGTCAGAAACTGACGTAGTATACACTCACACTGAAGTCAAAAAAGAAATAGCAGCATTCAGATCGAAGTGTCGGGAAGAACATGAGAAACCCGAATACTTGGCCATAGTAGCAAAACATGAAGATATCGAACGTCGAAAGGCTCAAAAAGCTCTACGTAAACAGAATACCGGCAAGGACACATCAGAAGTACCAACAGTAAAAGCATCTAATCCTTTCTCGTCTGCTACTCCACTCGTCGAGAAAAGAGTTAACGCTGCCGGTCAAACTGTCACAAAAAAAGTCAAAGACCCTTTAAAGAAAGTGCAACGTGAGGAATGGTTGCAAGAAAAACGTTTATTACGACAAGAAAATGCTCTCTGGCGTCGTATGGGCGTTGTAAAAAGTGGAAGATTGGTTTCTCCGCAATCTTTGAACTGGTAAGTCCGCAAGTTTTTGTTTATTTGGATTTTAATTTGATTTGATTCGTTATTGATTGATGACATCAGCGAGCGAGAGAGAGCAAGTTTAAAAATTTAAATTTTCCAGTTTTAGCACATGTTCCCTTTTACGTGTAACCCAACCCATAACTTTATTTTATCGTTTTCTCCCTCATAACCTACAAACGGGGGTTTTCTTATTCTTATATTTACCATTGTTCTTTCATAGTAAAAGTCATTCAATTTGTCATTTACCCATTTTCAGTTCATTTACAGTTGTTTTCCTTTTACGGTAATGATTTTTTATTCAGTAATCGTATCGTGGTTTTTTCTACCACACTATCTACCAAAAAAATTTATTTTCGCGGAAAAAATCTTTCTGCAGTACTTTTACACAAAATCCTTATTCTTGTAATTTCTCTGTAAATTATTTTTTCCCTTTTCTTCTGCGCACGTGTCCAAAAAACGCGTCATTGCAAGCTTTTTTGTTTTCTTGACATTTTGACGATCGTTATTTGGTAGTAGAAAATTGACAAAAGTGCGTAATTTTGGCAATATAGTTTTGTATTCGCACGATAACAAATTATCGGGCGCAGAATTTTAAATTTCCCCCCTTGGTTAGCCATTTAATTGGTTATTTTCTATCAAACTTTTGGTCTTACGCTAGATCGTTTACTTCGATACTTCTAAACCATAGAAAAAACCGGTTTTTTTCATACGTTTTTTATTTTACGCCAATTCTTTCTTATTCTATATAATATGTAATAAAAACCGGTTTGTCTCTCGCTGGCTCATCATTTACTTATTGACAAAACGATGATACACAAAAAACAAATAATCTCTTGCTAATCATCATCTTGTATCACATTTTTGTTACACGAAAATTAGGCAAAAAGAATGTGACGTATTATGGTTGTTTGGCCCCTTGTATCAACCTGAGGAACATTTGGATGAAGACGACGACAGCAAAAATGCCTCGTCCTCCACTATTGACGGTATTCCAAACTACGCCTCACCGATCAAACCCGCTCTCAAGAAACATGTAGAGCACTCGCCAATCGAAGATTTGCTCACCTACTACAAATGCTCGAAGGTACTGAACAAAGATAAATCGGTTACCAGTATCGATCGTCTGTACAAATTCGACGCAGCCGACTATTCGTCTTCATCGGAAGAATCAGATGTCACTGATGCGGAAGACTCTGATAGCGGGTCCAACTCCGATTCGTCGACTTGCTTTTCGGATCACTCACTTCCAACTCGTCGTCACACGATGCCGGTACGCATACCAAGTCATGTGATGCAAAAGAATAAAAAGTCGTTGAGATTCAGTAGCAAATTGGAGCAAGTTCATTATTACGCGCCGACAAATTATACGAAACCGCCTACGCGACGACGCTCAAACCCGCAACGAACCACGAAAAAGGATTTGACTGATGAATCGGAAAATATTGATCCGACGGGTGCTGGCGTAGCAATTGGCATTAAAGGTGTTGGCATGATGGACACCTGCAATGACTACGACCAAATCTTTAAATGGGCAAAATCTCAGGTCAGAACTTCTGGTACATATAATTTATTCTGTGAGGATGATAAAAAAGGAGCGCCAGCCAATACCTCGATCGCTGCTTATCAAGCCACAATGGACGCCATTGAAAAGAAAACTGCTGCGGCTAATCACATGACAACCAACGCCACCGCCAATGGAGCAATGGAATATCAAAAGATGTTGGCCGCTGCCAAAGCATCAACTACTCGCAGAAGACAATCAACACAGTACAGCAAGCCAATCTACGACGTTGAACTTTTGTCTTCCGATGAGGATGATGAAGCTTTCTTCAGTAATAAAAAATCATCGAATAAAACTGTTGTCGACCAAGAAAAAGAAGCAGATCCATTCTGTCCTCCCCCAATTGTCGAAGATACTATCAACAAAGATACGTCAAAAGAAGATGCAAGTATCGTGGCAAGATGTGTAAATATTGCAGAGAATGCTAAGGATGTTGTCAGTTGGTTCGGTGCTATGCTATGGGATAGTAGCATAATGTAAATTATGTAAACATATATATATAAATAATAACAAACAAATCATATGTTTGTTGATATATATACCCGCAACAGCAACCTACAACATTTTTAGTGTGCAATATATTATAATTTCCTTTAATTACATACTTAATTTTTGACGCGCGCGTCATTTTCTTTGATTGATATATCAACATATGGATTTTTCTCAGCATAAACAATCGGGGTTTTATATTTCATCTTGGTTTTATTCACGGGATCTTTTTATTACTTTTTCTACTTTGGGCTTCCTTAAAGAATGTCGATTTAATATATACGGCAATTTCGATTGTATATATTAATGGGACATTAATCATTATCAACATCTTCATTATCATCAAACTTCATCATCATCATCATCAACCTTGCATTTAATTTACATAGTATACATTCTTCAGTATCTATAATCTTTTTTCTCATCAGCAACACTCTAAGCTATTTCAAAAACAAACATCATCACCTTTTTTTAAATAACTAAGAGAAAAAAGAGAATTCTTTATTTCTCGAATGTCAATTTGAAAAGAAACTGATTCCTCTTTCCATACATCAAAAAGAGGGTCACTTTAAAGTTTCAATCACGAGGCAACCCCTTTATAATTGGTATATGTTGTCTCCCCTTATTTGTTTATAACAAATAGTTCACCTTTTAATTAATTAATTAATTAATTAACTAATTAACTATTTTCAATCGAGCAATTAACGATTGATGTTCAATGATCACAAATTCACGAACAAAAACAACAAGTCATCGTCATCTCAGTCAGAAAAAGAACCAAATTTTCGAGATCGAATTTTCGAGAGAAATCAACAGTGCAACAAATATCTATCAAAAAAGAGATCTGAATATATAATTTGTGACTGAGCGATCGATCGATGATTGATTCGTTGGATCATGTCGTGCTAGTTTGTGTTTCATTTTTTAAATGACAATTCTTTTTAATGATTATTCAATGTTCAAATGTCGTGTCAAGACACCTTTTCTTATCGTCGTTTTTTGTGATGAACTCAAAAAACGACAACTTAACCCTTTCCAGTCTTTTAAACACGTGAATCTAGCTAGGCACGTGTTCCTTCCCATTAGTTGATACCATTAGTGCAACCAACCATTTATCCTCTTAACGTTCTGTTCTAATAGCATTTTAGTACTATTATTATACACACTTTTATTATACACACTTTTATTATATACACTTTGACCCTATTCTTAAATACACTTTAATGTTCTGTTCTAATATAATATACTTCTTCGAAGACGGTCCTATTCAACCGATCAAAATCGTAAAATGTTCTCGATTTTTGCAGTAGTAACCATTTTTCATTTAGCAGTAGTAATTCAAAACCTATCTTAATCATCATCTCATTCACATCATAATCATTCATCTCATTCACAACATAAATAATAATCAACACCACCAAAAACATTTATAATTATCATTCTAAAAATCTAAGCTTTTCTTTCGTTTCTTTTTTCTCATTCTCTTCTGTGCTCTCGTGATTTGTTTCATTCTCGACAGCATTCATTTGATGACGTGATATAACACCGGTCACTTAGTCGAATGCTTGTTTAAGAGGATTGTCACGAATTTGCTTGACATTGATGAAATGTTTGAAAAAACGATTGAATTATTCAAATGATCCGACAATCCGAAACCAGCATTTTCATAAATAGCATTCAGCATTCTATCTATCAATCCCCTTCTCACTTAATATCACATCTTTATCTAAGCATTTTACACGTGGATTTTGTTGGTGTTAATTAATCTTTGATGCATGTATATACCATCAAACGAATAATAACATGATAACAATTCACATCCACATGACGACTAGACACTCGGCTGTCTATATCGATTATAGCAGTCATCTCATCACTACATTTTTTCAATAATTAATCAATTGTGTGTTTTGTGATTTTTGCATTTTTTTTTTCGTTTAGCATTTTATTCGTAACATCATCAGCAGCAGTAGTAATAATATTTCATTTTTTTTTATTATCATTTTCATCATCATACCAATCATCGTTTGGTATTTCGTATTTTTTTCTTGTACAAAGTTTCTTTTTTAATTTGTAAATTTTTTGTCTACACATTTATTTTTATTCGCTTATTCCGCTTATTCTTTCGCTGTACATTCTATTTTGTTTCTTTTGGTGGAGACTAGATTTTTTCATTTCGAATGATGATAGTCCATGCCAAAGGAACATCGACTATTCCAAAGAGCTCTAATTTCTATAGGTACCTTATTATAATTTAATTCTCTTGTCTGAAAATTTTATATTTCTTTTCTCTTTTATTCTTTTTCATCACTTTTACTTTTTTACGTTTTTTCATGTGTAGTAATATTATTTGTTTAGAATGGCGCTATTGGAGACGGAAACCTCAGTTCTATTTAGCATTTACAGTATTTTTAGAATGATCCCCTTTCTTCTAAAAATTCACGTGTACTTTTTCTAGAAACAAAAGACAACAGCCCTCCCCAAACAACAACATAGAAATACCTCCTTTATTTTTTTTCTTTGGATATTTATTTTTTATTTGCACATATATACAATGCATACATATTTAATGAGACGGCATATTCGGGGTTCCATCTGTTCTGTTCTGTTCTGTTCTGTTCGCTGTTCCCCGGGACTACCGAGTGTGTTCGACGTCAACATTTAAGTATTCGTGTGTCAGACTATATATGTGTATTTATTTTATATTTATTTTTTAGAATTCTTCTAATGTGCAGCTCGTTTTTATGCTTGTTTCTTTTGGGAATGGCTTCGAGTTTTTTGGATCCTCTTATACAGTACACTTTATCTTATTTTCTTTAATATAGATTGGTATATATATTTCACGTATTATATATCAAGTGATAGATTTCTCGTTTCATGTAGAGGTTTTTGTTTGGCCAAAACGCCAGTGAGAAATAACAATGTGATGTATACATGAAAAAATCAAATAATAAAATCGGTTTTACCACGAAATAATAACGATAATGACTATATTGCTTTTTCATTAATAATGTGGATTTGATTACGATAAGACGCGTTTGTTGTACCAGCGTTTTGTGTGTCATGCTCAGTTAGTCACATGAGGGTGGTTATCAGATATGATTTTTAGCATAGTTCTTGCTAACAATATTAAGAAACAATCGGTAAAATTGGTAAACCGTGACACTTACAGTCATCCTTATCGTCGTCGTTGTTAAACAGATAGACAACAATAGGATTATAAAATAGAGTAAATATATTTTGGGGCAGATGCTGCTTTGTTTTAATTAATTTGGTCGATTAATTTAAAATTGATTGAAAAAAATATTTAAGGTTTTGATGATCAATTTCGACGAATTGATTAAAAATCCCGTTTGAGTTTACTGATGCAACTTGTATGTAAAAATCTTCGTTGTGAAGTTTGGAAATGCGTAATATTTGTTGTGGCGGTTAAATTCCAAATCGCTCGTTCTTAGAAGATTTAGGGGTGTGGGTGAATAAATCAATATCAAGGATTGTATTAGTCATGACTATTCCAGAGAGTATCATAAAACGCGGGAATCAACTCCGTGTGGGTGTGTGTTTTTACATGAAAGGAATTTGACAGATTGTTTCGTTTTCATTTGCAAGGGTTGAATTTAGATGATGATATGTTTACGGCGAATGATGAACCGAAGATCCAAAAGAAAACTTGGTCAATGCGGGATATGTGTTATTGTTATTGTTATTCCTTAAATCAACCATGCCAACCAAATACATCACTTTCTACATCACTTTCTTTACATACACACGCGCACAAATGTTCGCACAAAAATACCCATGTATTAAAAAACCGGTTAGATTTTTTCTTTTCTGTTTTGTCTCCTCCGTTATGCAGAATGAATAAAGTTTATAAAAAATTTTTCTTACTGCTAGTTCGGTGATTTCCGTGGCTTTTGCAGAAAGCTCTATCTCACTATCGCTATGCGATATTATATCTTATATACGTTACTGTTATCTTCATGTTTTGAAACAGGTTGGAATACGATCCTAGCATATCTGAACAAAATTTCATTGCTACTAAATTAATTAAACTTTCGGAAATTATTATCTATCATATTTAATGTATGTCCGCACAACATCTACATTATCGTGGTTTCATCTAAATAAAATTAAAAGAAAATTCTATATCGCATGTGTACACGCGCTTCAACAAACTTTAGATGATACGCAAGCAAAATGTCTGAAAAGATCAAAAGAAGACAATTTAAAAAAAAACTTCCCATGGAAATAACAATGCTCACACACCAGCACGCTTGCCCTAAAAATGCCACATGTTTACTTGATCCGTGACCTGTCAAAAAATAAGATTTTTCTCTGCATTTATTGCTGCTGCTACTTCCAATTGCGTTATCGTTTATCATTTTTGAAATAATGCGTGAGAATTCGGTTTTTTAGTTAGAAAGATCAGAATAAAGTTTTTGTACATAAATAGCAAGTAGACGAACTAATAGTTCTTATACATATATGCGTTTAGCATCTAAAGATTCTAGTCTGCCAAAAATAACGTTTTTTCTTGACATACATTCGGGGAAAAATTAACATGTATGTGTGGCCCAACATAGCCTCAATGCTCAAGCTTTTGTTTGGTTTGTTTGATTAATAAAGAAAGAAGAATTGTGTCCGAAACTTGAATTCATCAACTTTCGGCGTTTTTTCAGTCAATCAGTAATTTTGTTTGAGTGCGAGTCACCATTCACAATAAACATTGATATAACGGTCACTATAATGAAATTTTTAATTTTGCAAGCCCCAAGTCTAGTTAGACAAATTATTTTTTTAAAAGAAATACGCCAAATAAAATGCAAAACACAACACGAAAAAAAAATAATCAGGATTCAGCAAGTTTTCTATTATAAATTATTGAAGAATCAATCATATCGCTCCTTATGTAGATACCATGTATTATAAACCTTGCTTTATTGCAAGTTAAATAAAAAAAAAAAAAACCAAATTTTGGACAAAGACATAAATCGATTAACTAAAATGTCAAAACTGCATTATACTGCAACAGAAACTTTTAAATAATCAGATTGTCGACACCACATTTACCTATTATAGACACTTAAGAAACACCCTGAATTTTTGATTTGGGGCACACAAGTTAAATTGATAACCTATAAGTTGGTTGTACGGCATCGATTCCGATTGACTTGATGATTTAAATTCGCTAACTATATATTAATTGAACTCGATCAGAAAAAAGAACCTTGGCAGAAAATAATCAACTGATCTTTTCAATTAATGTTTACTTCCTTTTTTATTACGTGCAGTGATTATTTATATTTTATTATCACTATTATGTGATTGATTGGATTATGACAGAGTTAAGCGCGGGAAATCATTCAATTGTATGTCGTAACCAATGCTGTATGTTGCAAGTCTGTCACCTTGCTTCGCCTCTATTATTTAACCAATAAGGATTAAGGCTGTTCTGATGCATCTACCTGTATGTATATGTATGCGGCACTATTTATTTTTATTGATTGGGATTTGCTGAACGCCCTTTGTTATACACATGTACATGTAAAGATTTAGGTAAAATGGCCAGCCAGCAAGTCAGTCAGCCAAATAGCAAGCTCAATTTAGATTGGAACATAAAGCTGAAGTAGAAGAGTTTATTGCAATCTAGTCAGTTTATTATTTACCGAATTGCACATAAATGATTTAAATGTTCCTTATTATTATAAATTACCTTGACCACCTCAATTTCAAAAGATCCGTGTGAGTGGGCGTGTGAACATGATTGAAATTATCACATCCCTATCGTAATTTTTAATCTTTATAAAGAAGGGAAGAGCTTACATCTGAATCCGCATCATTAGATAACTAATATACATGGTTAATATACACTCAACCCGGTTAAACTGAAATACTAACTAAAACCTAGATAAACCGAATTTGGTTCCAGGAACACTTATACAGTGGCTCACACATGTAACCGAACACGAAAATTAACTTTCTAGCATTTTTATTTCCATGACTATTAATTTAGACAAAATAAAAAGTGTTCATTTGAAACCCTGAAACCTCTAATATTTTTTAAAAATAATTTGACAACAGATTATTTTGTGAAATA